GTAAACATCCTTGTGAGCGCGCTCAACACGGCAGTTGTGGACAGAGCTTCCCGTTATGATACTTCCTCTGTTTAGTCCTCTATTTTCCAACATGTACTTTGCCACTCCAACATTTTCCAGTCCATGATCGCTTCTTACTCTTGAAGGTAAGCCAAACTCTTGTACTCCCTTGATGAAGAGCTCCAACACTGTATCTGCTCGGTTGTTATCAGTTAGGGTGGCATATACAATAACCCTTGAATACCCATCAACACAGCAGTGCACAACAAACCTGTACCTGGTGAGCTTGTGGTTTCCGTCTATGTGCCACAAAGCGTTTGGCGTTGGTACAGAGTACATCCGACGGTAAACTGGAGTACTGCAGCGAAGTGCTGTCCCAAGCGGGTCTTGTCTACGAAGACAGTAACGAACCCTCCATCGCTGGATTCGAAATCCCCTGGCTCGGAGAGCTCCAAGCAATCTTCGTTGTCCAATGTTTGGAGTAATGCTTCTAATTTCTTTGACAGCGTCTTCAAGCTGAGAATCTGAAAAGAAGTTCTATTTAACGTTTAATTACAAAGTTTGAAGTATCGTACATCATTTTGTGAGATGGGACTTAGGGGAACCTAAAATATTTTGACGAAGGGTATGGCTTCTAAGATTTATTTTACCAGAGATTATATCATCCTTATCCAAACACATTGATAATAAGCTTAAACCAAATAAGCTACTAGTATAGATAATCTCAGTCTGTAAATTACTGCGTACCTGACAATGCAGTCCAGTTTCCGCTGTCATCATCCAAATTTAATTCCCGTCTTCTTCGACGTAAAGTACTCTCACTGATACCTAACAAACTAGCGATTTTTACCCAGGAGAAATGCAGTTCACGTAAGAATTCGATCTGTTCTCTTTCCATGACGATTACTGGTCTTCCTGCACTTGTTAGTTTAGTGGTAGGACAAGCCAATGAATTTGATATCTTTGCTTCAACGGAATTTCTTTCCTCGTACTTTGTCATTGCATGAAAAACAAAGCGTACTTTTGTCAAAACAGCTTCCATTATTGTCTTGAAATCTTGAAGGACAGAGTCCTCACTTTGCCATACACTATGCAACAGCACCTGTAAAGTTAAAATTGCATCTTCCAGACGCACGTTAGCTTGTTCAAAGTAATCAACGGAGACATCTTGTGTGTTCAAATTCTGAATACCAATCCACAGGGTACGAAGAGACTCCACGAAGTTGTAAAGGCTTCTCTCGTTGCCATCTCTTAAAGTTTAATCCACCATTTTGCTTTTGAAATTGCCGGAAAAGTGCTGGCGGTCATGTGATGACGTTTGCATACTAATTAGAAAGAAAATAAAAAATCCCACTCGGAACGAAAAAAAACATATGGAATAAATATAAAAAATATGAAACGCATTTAAAATGAAGAGAAAAAATAGAAAATAGGTGAGCTAAACACGTATATGTGAATTGATACGAAGAGATTTTTAAGTATATAGAAGGAAAATGGAAAATAAAGAAGCAAAATAAAAAATATACAGAAAGGAAATAAAAAATATGACAAAGAAATGTAATGGATGTATTGTATATTAAGGTTGTTTGAATATTGACTGGAAAGGCGCGCCATAGTAAAAATTAAGCGTTTCGACAAATAACACTTTGTCACTTGCGAATCACCAAAATGGTTTGGGTCAAAAGGTCATAGAGCGGTGAAAAGTAGAGAAAATAAATTAAATGACAAAATAAATATAAAGGATAACTAAAGAAAAGCTAAAGACATAAATCTACTTACATTTTGTGCCATAGGAAGTCGAAGAAGACGATTTCCAAAACTATTTTAATGCACCTTCAATAACACGTGCTAGAAACTCTGACATTTTGGTCATGTGACCAAGAAACAGTATTATGTATATGAGCACGATCCTTCGCAGTAAAGCACTATTTGAGCAATAGTGAAAATCAGACCTGAAAAAAATTTCAGGCCTGTACGGGATTCGAACCACTGACCTCTGCGATACTAGTGCAGCGCTCTACCAATTGAGCTAACAAGCCAACTGGGAGCAGGCCATCAAATTAATTCGACATAAACCCGTAGATGATAAATCAAACAACAACAAACATATGAAACATATGTGTGAACTGCGGTTATGAGACGTATATGAGCACGATCCTTCGCAGTAAAGCACTATTTGAGCAATAGTGAAAATCAGACCTGAAAAAAATTTCAGGCCTGTACGGGATTCGAACCACTGACCTCTGCGATACTAGTGCAGCGCTCTACCAATTGAGCTAACAAGCCAACTGGGAGCAGGCCATCAAATTAATTCGACATAAACCCGTAGATGATAAATCAAACAACAACAAACATATGAAACATATGTGTGAACTGCGGTTATGAGACGTATATGAGAACGATCCTTCGCAGTAAAGCACTATTTGAGCAATAGTGAAAATCAGACCTGAAAAAAATTTCAGGCCTGTACGGGATTCGAACCACTGACCTCTGCGATACTAGTGCAGCGCTCTACCAATTGAGCTAACAAGCCAACTGGGAGCAGGCCATCAAATTAATTCGACATAAACCCGTAGATGATAAATCAAACAACAACAAACATATGAAACATATGTGTGAACTGCGGTTATGAGACGTATATGAGCACGATCCTTCGCAGTAAAGCACTATTTGAGCAATAGTGAAAATCAGACCTGAAAAAAATTTCAGGCCTGTACGGGATTCGAACCACTGACCTCTGCGATACTAGTGCAGCGCTCTACCAATTGAGCTAACAAGCCAACTGGGAGCAGGCCATCAAATTAATTCGACATAAACCCGTAGATGATAAATCAAACAACAACAAACATATGAAACATATGTGTGAACTGCGGTTATGAGACGTATATGAGAACGATCCTTCGCAGTAAAGCACTATTTGAGCAATAGTGAAAATCAGACCTGAAAAAAATTTCAGGCCTGTACGGGATTCGAACCACTGACCTCTGCGATACTAGTGCAGCGCTCTACCAATTGAGCTAACAAGCCAACTGGGAGCAGGCCATCAAATTAATTCGACATAAACCCGTAGATGATAAATCAAACAACAACAAACATATGAAACATATGTGTGAACTGCGGTTATGAGACGTATATGAGCACGATCCTTCGCAGTAAAGCACTATTTGAGCAATAGTGAAAATCAGACCTGAAAAAAATTTCAGGCCTGTACGNAGAGTTTCTACACTGATCCTGACCTTCCCTTATTTGGAGAAATGTCAGGTAAGAAACCATACTTGTTACAATTTAAAAGGATACTTGGCTTTGAATTATCAAATCAGCATGAGTCAAACCTGGCAAAATTCTATCGATTTTAGTTTTTCTGTTTCAGAAACTGAACAAATTAAAGCGTGAGAACGCGAAACTGGTTTTCCCTTTATAGTGCGTCTTCAACCTCTTCGCCTTCTGTCCGAAAAACTATATTCAATGAGGAACGCCTCAAATAACAAAAACGATCTCTTAACTAGTACGGTATATATTTCATTGATAGTTATTGGTCGTGGAGTTGTGGTGCATGCAGAAAACGCTGGCGCTGCCCGCTTGGCTTGTGCTTCCATTACACCAGTTCCTTCGTTGTACATTGAGAAAACACTGAAGTACGTCAAGGGAGCTACATTTTCCAAGTAAGGCGAAAGTATGCTTTGGGATTAAATACCAAACATCCTCAGCTCAGTGATAAATCAAAGGTTTTTTTTCTTTCTATGTATTTATAAATAAATAATAAAAAATAGATATCGTTTAATCCACTCTTTGCAGTTGAAACTATGTTCAAACTGAATTATCAAGCGGTTATGTGGGCTATACACGCGGACACTTACACACACGCGTGGATGGACATAAACGAAAGGCATCTTCAATGTATAAACATTACCACGAACGGCACAGCGAAGTCCCGAAAGACTTACTGAAACGTTTTAGCATTCTGAAAAAGTGTAGTAACAAGTTAGATTGTTTAGTGAACGAAATGCTTTTCATCAGAGACCGAAAACCCACTCTGAACGTGCAAAGCGATTCAATTCGCGCAAAAGTATTTGTATAATTAGCTCCTAACATATTTATGCTAATTTAGTGTTACATCTTGTCGCAAACTTTGTAATTTTTATTTCTCCTTGACAAGGGCGTCATGATGACACCGAAACGTCGGTTTTTATCGTTGGTTTTTGCTTGTCTTTGCATTTCTAAATCTTTATTGATAAGTATCATTTACAAAATTGTGAAATATAATTAAAGTATAGTAATGTATAGTCAACGTAATAATTAATCTAAAAATCTAAAAGTTATAAAGACATTAGCTAACTTGGTTCTTGCCTCCTGGCGAACGGACTTTTCACGCCCAGATCTAAGGTTATAAGGAACATTATTGAATAACACATATATTGAATAACAACACTGAATAACACATGATGAGTATGCACGGTAAAACTAGGCGTTTCGACAAATAATACCTTATCACTTGCGAATCACGAAATTGGTTTGGGTCAAAAGGTCATAGAGTGGTGAAAACTAGGGAAAATAAATTAAATGACAAAATAAATATAAAGGATAACTAAAGAAAAACTAAGGACGGAAATTTACTCACATTCTGTACCATATGAAGTCGAATAAGACGCTTTCCCGAACAATTTTAATGCACCCTTCAAAGACACGTGCGAGAAACTATGGCATTTTGGTCATGTGACCAAGAAACAGAATTATGTACGAGGACACAGGGTGTCCAAAAGCAAGAAAACCTAAACAATGACAACGCAATCAAAAAAAAAAAAAGTCACATCCTAGTTTTAGACTAAACAACACAGACTTTGTCCCATTCAGCAGGAAAGAAGTGAACTGAAAGGTTTCCTTTGCTTTTTCTTCAGAGTGACCTTCACAAAGACAATTAGCGCTGTACTTAAAATCCCATCATGGCGGTTGTTTTATATCCGAACAGAGGGCAGTGAAGTTCAAGACTGTGTCACAGTCAAATTTGGGATCATTGGAAATGGTGAGTACTTTAGTGAGACTTTTAGCTGAATATATTTCTCTGTTGCCTTTGAATTTCTTCTGAGTCGGTTCGTTATTCTTACCTGTCATATTCTAAAGCATACATCATCCATGACACGTTTGCTACATCTTGATTAACCCTTTTACACGCAAGATCTCACTTGTAATTCTCTTTACTGTCCGCAATGCAATTCTCATGTTGTTAGTTGAGAGAATTTGGTATTGGATTAGCTAATAATCCTCTTAGTACTGATCTTAATTTTTATATTCTCCATACTTGCGTGCTTGATATTGTAAGGAGAAATTACGTCATTGCCGCCATGTTGGTGGACGTAAACAATAAATATCTCATTAGCTTCTTTTGTTCGTCCACCAGCATTTGTTTTTTTCACCATTGTTATCTGTGTCTCTAGAGATTGGTTGCAAACTACTTACACCAGTGTCTGCTTGATATTGTATTTGTATTGTAAAGAGAAATTATGTCTTGGTCACTCATGAGAGTTTCAGGGGGAAGTGAAAGATTGACAAAATGTTTGCTAATAACCTTGGAGAGCTGATTGTTCCTGAAAGATGCCTGAATGGAGGAAAGTTTAAAAGATTGTTGAGGATGTCATTTTTGCTCAAAGTAACAATTTGCATGAGGCAACAGCTAGATCTATTGATACACTGAAATCAATTGTAAATAAGCATGCACCCCTAAAACATGTGTCTAGAAGCAAGCAAAAGCAATTACAAAAACCTTGGATCTCAAAGGGAATACTTAAATCCATGAAAACTAAACATGCTATGTATAAAACCCACTGTCTATCTAATGACCCAGTTAAAATCAGTGAATCTAAAAACTACTCAAATAGATTAAACCATCTCAAAAACACTAATAAGAAAGCCTACTTCTGTAAAAAATTTGACTTATGTAAAAATAACTTAAAGGCTACATGGAAGATAACTGGTAATCTAATTAGGAGAAAGACAAAGGGTCAAACCACACCTCAAAGAATAGTTAGGAATAATAAGACCTACACTGGTAATGATGACATCGCTGATCAGTTTGATAAACATTTTGTTAATGTTGGTCCCAGATTAGCCAGAAAAATTGAAGTTAACCAGGAAAACCCTTCACAATATATTTTGTCATCTCCAGCTAATAGTTTTGTTATTTCCCCTGTTACTGAAAGCCAGGTTTTAGATTTGTTTATGACATTAGATTAAAAGCAAATCATTAATTGATATACCAAACAGTTTAATAAAACTAGCTGCTGAACCATTATCAGCACTTTTTACCAAAATTTATAATCAATCAATCCAGATTAGAGTTGTACCAAATATTCTGAAAGTTTCTCAAGTCACTCCAGTTTACAAAAGTGGTGATGTGACTAACCCAGGAAACTACAGACCCATTTAGTAAGCTACTTGAAAAATTAGTTCATAACCAACTAGATTATTTTTTGTAAAATATAACATTTTGTAAAGATATCAGTTTGGTTTTAGGGAAGGGCACTCAACTGAGCAAGCCATTTTTGAGATCACTGACACCCTTAAGCAGGCAGTGGATAAAAGGCTTGTTACTTGTGGTGTTTTCTTAGATTTCTCAAAGGCATTTGATACAGTTAACCATAAGATTCTCTTGTCTAAACTCTACCATTATGGCATATGTGGAATACCCCTCAACTGGTTTGAAAACTATCTTCACAATCGCACTCAGTATGTTAAGATTGGTTGTAGCCAATCTGATGCTGAAACCATTACTTGTGGAATAATACCACAACTTTGGGTTCTTTACTATTCTCACTTTATATCAATGATCTACCTAACTGCTCAAAAAATCTATCCTTTTTTATTACACGACTCGGGCAGTCAGAGGGCCAATAACTAAAATCAACCAATCAAATTGCTCTATTGTTGGTCAATATTCTCTCAGTATTGACTGCGCACTGTCCCGAATGGTCCCGAATGATACCGCACTTGTGTCCCTTTGAACTTCAGTCGTATAATAAATCTCTTGTTAACCAAGCTTGCTCGGGACCCTACTGGAAGAATATCGGCCCTCAGTCTTTTTTGTATGGACCTCGCTGCGCTCGGTCTGTACTGTCAAGACCTCTGGCCGATGTTCTCCCAGTATCGCTTGGTTAATAAGATATATGTATATTTGCTGATGATACAAATATTTTTTTTTTTTACAAGTGACAACCTGATCCATCTTGAATCCACTATGAATGAGGAATTGAATTCTGTCTTCAAGTATTGTAATATCAACAAACTATCTATAAAATTAATTTTACTAACTAAAGACAACCTATATGGTAATTTCATCTGCAAGATTAAGATCATATATTCATATTCCCAACATTGCCCACAAAACTCAAATTAAGTATTTAAGTATCTACATTGATCAAGACTTATACTGGGGACTGCGGATTCAACACATTAACAATAAATTAATAGCAAAAAATATAGCAATTATTCATAAATTAAGATATTTTGTAGACCAGTTCACACATTGAAACATGCAGTCATATTATTCTTTCATGTATCCATACCTGTCCTATGCAACCATAACTTAGGGTACTTCAAGACTGTATAACTAGATTACGTAGAATCTTAACTAAGCAGAATAAATGTGTGCATAGCATGTTCTTTGCCTATAGCAGAGATAATGCTACACCATATTACAATCTTCTGGAATTCTTAAATTTGAAAATGTGTACAAATTAAGGTTGCTCTTTTTACACATAAAATTCTAAATGGCTCAACAAACATCTCAATTATATTCCCTTACTTGAGCCTCAGAGATACATAACCACAACACCAGATTTGCCTCTGGATTAAATCCTCATAGGCCAAAAGCAACTAATAACTATGGGATCTCTACTTTTGCTTTTGTTTCATCTAAACTTTGGGAAACTATTCCAACAAATATTAAAGACTACCGTACACTTCCTTCTTCAACCAATATAAATTACACCTTTTAAACACTCAAGCTTCTGTATAATCTGTATATAGTTGAACTTTTGTTCTATTTTCTTTTTTTTTTCCTTTGATCTCTATTCTAATTGACTGATGTGTCATGTCAATTATTTGTACAAGTCAGTGACCAACACGAAAGCCTATGCCACTTTGGTCACAGAGCACATTTTATCTTGGCTGCGTATTGTAATATTTTTTCTCATCAATTGATGGAATTTTTTCCTTTTGTATACACTTTTGATGTTATAAATTGTAAATAGTTTAAAATGAGATTTTAAACTATTTACAATTTAGGAAGAGATCAATGTTTAAAAGAATTAATAATTTCTCTTTTCTTCATTAATCATAGAGAGGCAAGTCAGTGAGCCATCCCAAACATTTGACTTCATTATGGAACGCTCTCCAGCAAAACTAGGAGAATTTTGGCCAACAAAGAGTTGCCATGTCTCCACAAGTAACCCTACAGGTACACCAATGATATGCCTTTAACTAACCCACTCAAGAAACTGCTCTCTGATAAAGCATGGGGCCTCAGCTAGAAGGAAACAGTGGCTGATCTTACAAGAGAACAAGGCACAAGATGCCCTTCTCTCACTTTATCGGCCAAAACTGAGGTTGACACAATCATGATGTATAATTACATTGAATTTCTAAATGAGAATGTTTCCTCCAGAGTATCCCCCTCATCATCTAATTGTACCCTCAACAATTCAGTCAGATTCTGTATCATCCCTCCTTGGTCCACCTGATGTTTTATAACACCTTCAACCATCCCTTTGGATCAATCTGTCTGCTAATTAAGCTGTTTCCTGAATGATATAGAAATGTTGCAGTGAGAAGTTAAATGCCAAAATCTTTTCGAAGTTAAAAGGTTACATATACTGGTATATCATGGTTTGGATCTGCTTTTAAAATACTGTGCACATAGATCCAAATGTGAGGATTATGAAGAAGCTTAAGTAGTAGCAGAAAAGTGGCAGACCCAATGTAATTATATGCCTTTTTTTTTATGTTTAGATTCTGATGGACTCACACCTACAACAAGTGGAACACCTATGAATCACATGAAAGAATTTCTAATGCTTGGCTTGATTTTACTGGCAGCACTTGCAAATCTAAGAGCATGAACTTCAGTGAAGTGCCATTATGACATCTCCTATCCAAGTGTCACTACAACAATAAGACCATCCCGCTTCAGCTGGTGGGAAGAGGATAATTATTATCAATCAAGCAATTATAATAGGATTGAGAGGAGGTGTAAGGCAGTACTCCAACTGAGCCTCAGGAACCTGTCATATGTATCGAATACCATACACCCATTCATTTGAACTAGAATTCATGGTTCTAATGACTTGTTATTTAAAAGAACTTAACATAACAAATTCATAACTAAGATACAGTTTTTAATTTTGTCAATGATAAGGATTGTTGTTTTATTTTTAATAGTGTACATATTTAGATTTTTCTTTTCTTCAATGATTGTCTAAACTATGTACAAATATGTCAATTAAATTCATACTGTAAAATATTTAAAAATTGGAAAGTACCACTGGATTTTTAGTAAAAGTGGAGCTCTAGTAATCCATCATTATTATTCTATTTATTCTATAATGCCGTGTTTTTACGGCTGTTAGTTAGTTTATTTTGTAATGTCATTGTAAATCAAATTCGTAATCTATTGTAATGAGTTGTTATGAATCGTTTCAAATGTTTGAAATTTCGACCTCTCTTCTTGCCGAATTTTCTTCTCAAAGATCCAAATGGAAAGAGTCAAAACAAACTTAATGACCGCCACTTGTCCAATCAAGAGGCGTGCTCTTTTGATTGTTCATAACTTGGTACATGAAATACAACTTTAGACTGAGCAAGAAGTGAATAAAAAAAAAACAGTGTAGTAGAAATTAACTGTTACTTTTCTTTTTAACACAAAACCTTGTTAACTCTTAGTTTTGTATTGTAATAGCGTGTTTATGTTGTCAATCCGCTCGATCAATCTTGCGTGACGGATTGGAGTGACGCACACATAACGCAACCTTTTATTACCACTCACGTCGCAACAAGACGTCTGTTAGTCTGTAACTACCGTTTGCATTTCAATCATTATGGCAAGAGCTGGAGGATTACCATTGTTTGTGGTAGTGAATTTAATCCTGTTCGCAGGTGAGAAGCACATAATAGATCTAATGTAACCAAATTATTCGTGTTTTTAGCAGACCGGCAAATTAGAGATAATTCGTCGCTCGCACAGGTTGGTACGAATTTGAGAGTAATTCTGCTGATTGCATCATCTAGAATTATGTTGAATTGATAGAATATTTACATTGTCATTGAATCGCTATCTGTTGAAGAGAAAAGGTGGTTTTGATACTGTACCGAAGCGATGCGTGATTTTACAAAGGTTATGAAACGGCACAATGATTTCGTTGAAGGCGTACTGTATTTTTATGTCAACTGCTACGTCGAAATTGATCACTTTAAATCGAGCTACTTTCACTTTAATATACTTTTTTCCACCGCATTTGGTTTTATTGCATCGCATTTGGTTTAATGCATTTTAACTAATATCAGAGAAGTCGATGAACCAAGTCGCGTGCTGTACCTTGAATTTACGAGCGGCCATCTGTCGAGCAGTATCATCGAAGTGTTGAAACAAACGGCATTATTAATTCACGATGGGAAGTTGTGCCGTCACGCTGTGAACTTTTCTCAATAAAGCTAAAGTGTTGATTTTCCATCGGAATCTCTGATGCTTTTCGAAGCTTGTAAATTTCCTCAAACTTTTTCAACAGCACCTCGAGGAGTGAAGAACGTTCCACTACTTACAATGTATCATTGTTGACTGAAATGAATCTTAACGCCGAAGCCGAAACGCGGCCTGTAGTGTTTCCCTATATTTAAAATTCGCTTTCTTTCCGTAGCTTCTTGTGGTTGGCGTTGATGCAATTAGTGTAACTCCTAAGGGGTCGGCAAAATTTGTTGTCAAGAAAACACTCAATCTCAAAAATCTTTTAAACCACACTCAATCATGCGACAACGACTTTTTTTCCTGACAAATTTGATGAATGTTCATTTAATCGTAATCAAGTTGAATTAACTCGCGCTTGCGTATAAAAGCCCTGTTTCCTTAACATTACATCTGTCTCATCAACGATTTCACTCGGGAAATTTCGGTAGCAACAATGGCCCTTTCAATCGACAATAGGGAATCAAAAGAATCTGAATCCCCAAGTGCCTAAGGAACACCATAAGAGGAAGTTATGAATTCATGTTTTCTTTAAAAAAAGGAAACCGAACCTTTTTGAAGCCTTAGCTGTATCAAAAGTCGATCAAGTGAAGATAAAATGACTAACATTTGTTTAAAACTCTGAACTAGAAATAGGTGCTATTGTATTTCTTTTGTTCTCCCGACTTTGTTAAAACTTGGTAGTCAAGTGGAACACAAACGTTGTTCACATACCAAATATTTCGGTTGCTTTTCTAAAGACGGAGAGACGAGGAAAGCCTTCGATTATTTGTTCGAAGAGTGTGAAAGTTATTAACGAGGAGCTAATAGCTTACCGGTTTGATGTAGCAATAATTATGTGACAACCCTTTTTCTTGTAGCCAGAAATATGTACATGTGAAGGGAATCTTCAGTGTTGTCATGGTCCGTTTGAGGAACGAAAAGAGTCATTATTTAATTCGTTCTGTTTGTTTTTTCTTTCATTTCTGAAAGCAGCAAAGGACTTCACTACAAACGCACCTGTAAAACAACGACAGTAACTCAAAATGTCAACGATTCGCTCATACGTTTCTTAATAAGTTCGCAAGTAAATGAACCGTATGACTGACAAATTTGCTTTGGTTGCCTTTGGAAATGGACAGTCAGTCTAAATATTCGTTCAGCTGAGACAAAGTGAACGTTTCCTTGAAGGTGTTGTTCGAAGAGATGGTTCCTCGCAAAACATAAGGCTGTCATATAGTAAAACAATTTCCTTTTTTTACAGAGCAAATTACGCTTTGTCTTCGATTGTAACACGTAGATGCAAATGCGTAAAAAAAAAAAAACATTGATGAAGCCGAACAACTCCATCGTTTGCAGTCAACCGAATTCGTTCGATCAAATTTTCACTTTGTATCTAACCGTGAAGTAGTTGAGTCCTTTGTGCGCCTTAGTGTGATGCGAATATTGTACAGAGGACAAACAAAGATGAGGGGGAGAAGGGTGCGTTTATGCAAGCGCGAAGTGGAATCGTTTGAATGCTCTCGAATAAGTTTTTCGTTTTCTTCTTTCGAACTTGTAGACTGTGAAATCTGTGACTGTCAATTACGCACTTAGTGTCCTTCCTATGGAGAGGGATTCTGGACTAAAACGCAATGAGACCATAGCCTTAATTCCATTTTACTGTTTGCTTCATGCCAGTGGATCCTACCATTAGACTTTTAGATCATTTCTCCAGGCCATTAAATCATACCTTCATGTCATTAGATCGTACCTCCGTGCCATTCGAACGTAACTGCATACACCCTATGCATAACGAGAAGAGACTGGGAGCGATAAACGTGAAAACGAGGCTAGTTGGGCCTTGTTAGTTCGTGTTAAAAATATGGCCGCTCATGACTCTGTAAGTAGCCGTCTTTCTCAGATTCTTACAGAGGAAGATATCCCAGGAGCATCGCTTCAAGGAAGACATTCTTTGATGTCACTTCCCCCTGTGAAACTCGAAGAGAAGTGCACACCCTTCCACCTTTACACCACTTTCGCTCCCACACACTGAAGTCAGAGAGTAAATACCTTCAAGAAAACTGGAAGAAGTGTGTATCATCAGCTCATATTCAAATACCTCACCATGCTATCAGAGTATTTGATGAAAGGGGTGAGCTTGACCACATCATTCACACTGGCTTCCTGCAGGATGATGAAGATGAAGACGAAAGTGAAACAGAGAGTGACAGAAATGAAGAATTGAATGGAGTTGGAAGTGAAGATTATGCAGAAGAGAGCAGGCTAATGGATCATGACAGTGAAGATGATGAAGATGAAACTGACAAAAGAGAAGAAAGAGTGATTGCTCTTGTTCAAGTGGGAGAGGACCTTTTGGGCCAGGGTGACCAGAGAAATGGGTTGGAACTAGAGAAAGATCAAGAAGAGACAGGGGTGATTACAGTGCAACCTGAAGAGTTACCAATTACTGGTGAAACCCATGAGACCAGCCACACTTTCAATGAACCCAATTTATCTACATCCTCCTTATACTCGACTATAGCCAAAAATGTGGCTAAAGTTATTGGTGAGACAGAGGATGTAAAGAAACTTGACAGTGCTAGAAACAATCTTCGAAAAAACTTAAACAGTAAGACTCTGCAGGAAAAATATGAATCTCAACTAGCTTATGTGCAGTCGCAAGTCCTTGCAAAGCACTCAGAAGTAACAAAAAAATTTAAAGAATGGGAAAAATTATTCACAACCGGAAATGATTGTTTAGAGCCAACTCTGGATGATATTGAGAAAGATGAGAAAGGATGCAACCTGTACAAGACCCTACGATTGTGTAGACAATTGTTAAAGCACTGGAAGATCACTATACACTTATAACCGTATTTATGTCTCCCTTACCTTACATAAGCACATGTGAGTGTCATCAAACCCAACACAAAATCCCGCAGTCAGAAAAATTATCTGACGGAATAGTTATCAGCATGCTGTCAACAATGAGTAATAAAAATACCCTAGGATTACTTTTTCAGTAAAAATTACGTGTACAATTATGTATGGCTGGTTTAGGTACAGCATAATCATTAATAAGGAGTGGAAGAGGGGAGTTTAACAATAAGAGATAAGCAGAAAAAGAAATTGAAAACAAGTCCAAGCCACAAGAGGGTTTCTATCCCAATCAAACAAAATATAAATAAGACGCGAGCACTTACCTCTCGATGAAAGTTGTCCTCCTGAATTGATTCTGCTTTCTTTCCGTTTCTTTTCTCTTTTTTTTTATTGTTTGTTTTGTTTTCTGTCATCTCTGAACTCTAACTTCGGAAACATTGTTGCAAAGCGAAAATTAGTTTGCTTACCTTTCTGTCACTATGGTAACCCCTGAAGAGTTTCCTTAGAGGATGCGTAATTAGCGGCTACCGCTGACGATAAAGCGAGATTTAACTCGTGACATGACGTGACAAGCTCAAATCAATGCTTTCCCGCCTTCCCGCCAATTTTTAAGTGCATTTTCTGTGCAAACAAATCAACAACGAATATGGAGGATGTTGCGAATACTAGCAAATTAATTCCCTTTCGATGGCGTCAAAATACCATTGCTGAGCGGCGACGAATGAGAAACGACAGAAAGAAGCGTAAGCGGCTTCAGAGAAAAAAAGTTAAAGAGGATGAAGCAAGGAAGGCAGTTTCCGAACGCATACGTAAGGAAACCATGCAGAAAGATCGATTCCTATACCTTGCAAGGAAATATTACTTGAAGTGGCAACAAATAAACAAGGCCCATAAAAAACTTCAAGAAAAAGCTGGTACCCTATCACCGGTTTCTAGATTTGGAACCAACCCTAGGGTGAGTGGTGCTTCTGAAAACGTACATACACTCAAAAAGTCAGACTGATGTTGTATGTTGGGTTCTAGGAGGGGAGGGGGGTGTGCATTTTGAAATGAGTATGGTGCTTCAAGGAGAAAAGTCAGTGTTGAGTATAAGCTATAGTCTGTCGGATTAAGCGAAAATACAATCACCATTTTGATCAAATTATCTGATAACAACAACCACATAATGCACATTTCTCTCCAGCTCAATGTTGGCAAACTGAAAAAATGTAGTCATAGCATCCCTGAAGTGTTTTATTTCAACAATGAACAGGGGTACAGAGGGGAAGAAGTGAAAAAAATAAACAATTGTATTCACACCACATCTGTAACCCCTATGCCCATCTAAAACAATAGAAATGCTTCCCTATACCATTTTATTTCTCATAATGTGTCAAGCAGGTTCTTATTATAGCTAGTAATTTGCAGATGAACTGTCTGCCCAGATAAAAAACACGATAACCAAACTTTGCCAAAGGATCAAAGGATGTCATGAATCACCATTTCACCAGAAGAATAAATGTATCTTTCAAAATAACAAAATGGCTGCAGAATTTGAATAGTACCTAATTTTTGAGACTTGAAAAATTCAAAAGGCACCCAAATGTCTAAAGTGGTGTAGGTAGGGTAAAAATTTACATTTCTTTTTTTAAAATGTCACTTAAAAACTTAAATTAACTGCAATTCATATTTGCAGCTTTTTTCCCCACAAGGTATTATATCTGGCAGACATATACCAGAAATTTCTCCATACCAGTTAAGGGCTCCACAAGACAATGGCAATAAAGACATCACAGTTCACCTTGGTCATGGTGTATTTGGTAGTTGTCAAAAAAAGTATTACAAGGGAATTCCAGTAGCTGTGAAGGAGTACAATAACCTATCTTCTACTAAGGATATTCAACGTGAAGCAGATGTAATGGCAAGATGTTCCCATCCATCTCTTCCTCACATCTTTGGAGTCAATGTAACACAAAAACCTTACTTTCTGGTTTCCTATTTCTATGGTATTAACAACCAGACTTGTACTTTGTACAGTGCATTATACCATCCCACCATACCCTTCACAAAATATTGTGCTGGAAAGATTATGTTTGAACTGTGCCAAGCTCTACAGCACCTTCACATGAAACAACTTCTCCATCGAGATATCAAAAGTGATAATATTCTCCTGACAATTCTGCACACAGGATTTCATCCCATGCTCATTGATTTTGGCAAGTCCATTAAAGTATCTGAAGCTACTTCCAAAAGGAAGAGTCTAAGTGCACATGAACAGGATGGCTACCGTAAAAAGTACAGACACATTGCTCCTGAAATTATTCTTGGCCAGCCACCATCATTTGCTTCCGATTTATTTTCATTTGGTGTAGTCATGTCTGATATCAGTGCCAACATTCCTTGTGAAAATTGCTTTCTTGAAGGAAAAAGGAAATGCTTAGAAGAAGATCCCAAATTAAGATGTTCGATTGCGTACCTTCTCAATCAGCTTGAAAGAAATGTATCCCTTTGCAAAAAGTGAAAGCAGTTCCCAGGTGATAATTATGTATAGTATGGCCAAATTCAATGCTCCATTCATAAGCTATAAAATAGTAATTATGACAGCAGAGACCAGACAGTCGAAATGTTGCAAAGTGCACCTGACAGGCAGTTTCAGTTTGTTATTGTATTCACGCTACTGGGTTTTCAAAGTGCATTCATTTTTCGGAAACTCACTGCAAAGATGTAGTCATCTTTTGGTAGCCAGTGAAAACAATAACATCTACACAAGGCCTTTCACAATAATATGAGGAATGCCTACATGTACAATGTACAATGATCACTTTCCTACAACTACTCAAAGGGTTCACATTTAAAACAAAAATGTACATCATGAATTAAGAATTAAGATAAAAACTGACTAGCAGCTGTTGGACCTTTGTCCAATGGCACTCTTGTGTTGTGTTAGACCCATAAGCCACTCTTTTTGTAACACTTCAAGGGTTATGTGCATGAAGGAGCTCTTATCCATAGAAAAAATCCACTGCCAAAGGATCATCTTCTTGCTATCTAAATAATATCAGTCAAAATGTCCAACCAAATTTAAATTAGTTCAACACAGCAGTGGCACACTGAGATGAGCCTANTGATAACAACAACCACATAATGCACATTTCTCTCCAGCTCAATGTTGGCAAACTGAAAAAATGTAGTCATAGCATCCCTGAAGTGTTTTATTTCAACAATGAACAGGGGTACAGAGGGGAAGAAGTGAAAAAAATAAACAATTGTATTCACACCACATCTGTAACCCCTATGCCCATCTAAAACAATAGAAATGCTTCCCTATACCATTTTATTTCTCATAATGTGTCAAGCAGGTTCTTATTATAGCTAGTAATTTGCAGATGAACTGTCTGCCCAGATAAAAAACACGATAACCAAACTTTGCCAAAGGATCAAAGGATGTCATGAATCACCATTTCACCAGAAGAATAAATGTATCTTTCAAAATAACAAAATGGCTGCAGAATTTGAATAGTACCTAATTTTTGAGATTTGAAAAATTCAAAAGGCACCCAAATGTCTAAAGTGGTGTAGGTAGGGTAAAAATTTACATTTCTTTTTTTAAAATGTCACTTAAAAACTTAAATTAACTGCAATTCATATTTGCAGCTTTTTTCCCCACAAGGTATTATATCTGGCAGACATATACCAGAAATTTCTCCATACCAGTTAAGGGCTCCACAAGACAATGGCAATAAAGACATCACAGTTCACCTTGGTCATGGTGTATTTGGTAGTTGTCAAAAAAAGTATTACAAGGGAATTCCAGTAGCTGTGAAGGAGTACAATAACCTATCTTCTACTAAGGATATTCAACGTGAAGCAGATGTAATGGCAAGATGTTCCCATCCATCTCTTCCTCACATCTTTGGAGTCAATGTAACACAAAAACCTTACTTTCTGGTTTCCTATTTCTATGGTATTAACAACCAGACTTGTACTTTGTACAGTGCATTATACCATCCCACCATACCCTTCACAAAATATTGTGCTGGAAAGATTATGTTTGAACTGTGCCAAGCTCTACAGCACCTTCACATGAAACAACTTCTCCATCGAGATATCAAAAGTGATAATATTCTCCTGACAATTCTGCACACAGGATTTCATCCCATGCTCATTGATTTTGGCAAGTCCATTAAAGTATCTGAAGCTACTTCCAAAAGGAAGAGTCTAAGTGCACATGAACAGGATGGCTACCGTAAAAAGTACAGACACATTGCTCCTGAAATTATTCTTGGCCAGCCACCATCATTTGCTTCCGATTTATTTTCATTTGGTGTAGTCATGTCTGATATCAGTGCCAACATTCCTTGTGAAAATTGCTTTCTTGAAGGAAAAAGGAAATGCTTAGAAGAAGATCCCAAATTAAGATGTTCGATTGCGTACCTTCTCAATCAGCTTGAAAGAAATGTATCCCTTTGCAAAAAGTGAAAGCAGTTCCCAGGTGATAATTATGTATAGTATGGCCAAATTCAATGCTCCATTCATAAGCTATAAAATAGTAATTATGACAGCAGAGACCAGACAGTCGAAATGTTGCAAAGTGCACCTGACAGGCAGTTTCAGTTTGTTATTGTATTCACGCTACTGGGTTTTCAAAGTGCATTCATTTTTCGGAAACTCACTGCAAAGATGTAGTCATCTTTTGGTAGCCAGTGAAAACAATAACATCTACACAAGGCCTTTCACAATAATATGAGGAATGCCTACATGTACAATGTACAATGATCACTTTCCTACAACTACTCAAAGGGTTCACATTTAAAACAAAAATGTACATCATGAATTAAGAATTAAGATAAAAACTGACTAGCAGCTGTTGGACCTTTGTCCAATGGCACTCTTGTGTTGTGTTAGACCCATAAGCCACTCTTTTTGTAACACTTCAAGGGTTATGTGCATGAAGGAGCTCTTATCCATAGAAAAAATCCACTGCCAAAGGATCATCTTCTTGCTATCTAAATAATATCAGTCAAAATGTCCAACCAAATTTAAATTAGTTCAACACAGCAGTGGCACACTGAGATGAGCCTAAAGTAGGTTAATTTACAATCAAAGCCAATAATTTCAACTTTGACCATTCAAGAGAAATTAATAGTTGTTTATATTCTTGCTGAGCACAGTTATTGGTCGTTATTGTCAAAGTGGCCACAAATACTGCATACACATAGCTTACAGGTCCCGCAGCTAATAAGAGAGGAAAAACGTCCTGGGTGAAAATGTCGTGCACATTCTATTAGTGAATGAAACTATTAATTATAGTGAACAGCAATACACTTACGTTCAATGAATTGATTGTTGAGCTCTGAGGTGAACAACAAACGCAAAAACCAAATCGGCAGTGCAAACAGAAATTGAACATCCAGAACGTGGCTGCGTAGGGTATGCGTATCGCTCAAGACTTAAAGAGGCTTTAAAACGTTTACGTGAATGCGTCCCGCACATATATGCAGTTCGCCATGCCACTTACTTTGCGTGTGAAAGATCGAAACGGCCATCCAATGCTACATTATTGATCTTTGTAAGAACAATTTAGGTTTCCGGTCTCGTACACAGAAAGGCCAAAAACTAGCAGCTGTATAAAATACTAAAAATCTTTAACTTGTCTTGACGGAATGGCCCGTATTTAACATAAAAAATCTTGAGAATCCGACGTCCAAACACCTAACACGACAAACGTGGAGTGCTACACGCGACACGTAAGAGAAAGCAGTCATATGACACCACTTTTAACCCCAGTTGCCACGCTACGGGTTAAGAGGTTTCGGGTGTCAGAAGGTCTCAAAAGCGTTTTAGAACCAGGCCTTAATCTACTTGAGCATAGGGGGAGCCAATAGATCATTCTTCTATGCCAATGGATCATACAGAGTACCTCCCTGCCACTGGATTATACCTCCATACCATTACGCCATTAGATTGTTTCTCGATGCTATTCGACCGTATCAACATGCCATTATATAGTTTTGCAATGTCTTGCACTCGCACCACCGTGTGATTCGATCGTATATGTATGCCACTCGATCGTTCCTCGATGCCATTAATCGAGCATAAAATCTGATCGGACCATCGAGAAAACAATGCCATTAGATCGTTAGTTACTCTTGATGGTCCAGTCAGCGGTTAAGTGACAAAAAAATTAGCCTCGATGTCACGTAAATCCTGTGACACATTGAATGAAGGCTTACAATCTAATTGCATGTTAATCCAGAATCATCCCCCATACCTTCCTACCTGCTAATTATCGTACTTTGCGCTTGCATACTAAATGTCTCTTTCTCCTCTCTATTTGGCGGGCAAGCACTGGTTGAACTGTTCTACCATTGTGCAAGGTTAACAGAAGCTGTTTTCTTTCATTCTTTTTCCATCCACGTGTGACGGGATGGATTTTACTTTTATTCGGTTATAACTGATTGGCCTTCTCAGGACAGACTGTGCCTGTTATTTGTATGCTTTGCGGCTCAGTTTCTTTATTATTAATCATCAGTAGGTAAACAAGAGTAATTGAAGTGATGCTCTGTTCTAGCAAAGTATCTGTGTGCTACAACTAAGGGTTAGATCACTCAGTTCTTACGTCATTAAGAGTGTGCATGTCTTTTAGCATGAGGTAAACGATGTTTCGAAAATTAAAAAAAAAGGGGAAAAATGGCACAAGATATAATGAGGACAAAATTCAGTCCACTCGGAAGGCGGCTGTGGCGTGCTGTGTAATCTTTTGGTTTCATGCTGTGTGCAGCGGTTAGGACTACAGTGTTATTGTTCTTTCAGCAAGTTAACGTCGTGGCATCATGGGTGGGTCGCTGTCCTCTGATTTGATGTTTATTGAAAAGATGAGCCACTTTAGCCTCGAGTAGTGGCCTAACTTAACTGAAAAGAAGTCCACATAGGTTTTAACAATAACTAATTCTCTTACAGCTATTGTTACTTCTAATTACAAATCCTTTTATTTAACTGTAGGTCTTGTTGCGTCAGCCGCTGGTACTGATGCTTTAAAGGCGACTTTTAGCATGGGTGGAATTAAGGGTGACGTGACCTTCTCTCAATCTCAAGGGCAGTATTCCTCAGAAGTTATGGTCAACTTAACAGGCGTCTCTGCGACATTAAAATGGAGCATACGACAATTACCTATGATCTACAATGGCAACGCTAATTTGAGCTGTAAAGCAGGCGCAGTGGGAGGTGTGTTTGACCCAAAGATGGCAGAGGCGTCTGCTGACTATGAGACCAACTGCCAATTGAGCAATAGTTTAAGATTTCAATCATGCGCAGTTGGTGCTTTATCCAGAATGCTCGGAAATCTGGACAGCAATAAGCAAGAATACAAATATTCAGACTGGAGGTTGATGATTCCCATCAGTGGCCCGTATAGTGTCATGGGTAAGGCATTAGTCCTGTACGATGGTGACATGCCCAAAGCATGTGCACTGATTGCTCCTACCCAGCCTATGAAAACATTCGTAGCTGTTTTCAAGGGTCCAGTTGCAGGCTTTGTGTACTTCAGACAAGTTGATGAGAACTCGGATACCTCTGTGTTTGTTGATCTCTTCTTTGTCAACGGTACCAATTCTAATAAAGACTTTTCATGGCAAATTAACCAGGGCGTGGTCAGTCATGATGCCTCCGATCCATCTTCCTATTGCAAGAATGTTGGCCAAATTTTTAACCCGAAAAACATGAACGATGCAAGCTGTAGTAAAACCATGCATGGTAAATGCGCCATTGGTGATATGACGTCCAAACATGGAAAAATCGAAGTCTCATTGGCAACCAAAATGCAGTCATCTACAAAAGCGGCATTCACCGACACCAACCTTCCCTTGAGCGGCGATGACTCCGTCCAGGGCGAAACCCTGTTGCTGTTTCCAAGCGACCCAATACAGGCTATTGCCTGTGCGAAGATCGTACGATTAGAGCCGAAAACACTGAAAGTTTCGTTCGATGGAAGTGTTCAGGAAGGTGTGACTGGCCATTTCATGTTTACGCAGTCCTCGCCTTTTGATGCCACGACAGCAGAGATCAAACTGACTGGGCTCAATAAAAAGGCTCAAGGGTACCACATACACGCCTACCCAAGCCCATCGTACATGCACTTATTGCCAAATGAGTCATGCACTGGACTTATTGCCGGAGATCACTGGAATCCTTACAATGTCGATATTAAAACCAGTCCTCCTGCAGGCACAGGTAACTATTCTCCTGTTTTGCTTGGTTTTGTTCAACTAAACTAATTCGAGTTTTAGCGTGGACTTGTTTGTCAGTTTTATCTGGGTAACAAGACTGAAACAGTTGTTAAAGGTAACAACGATAATTTTCAAGAGAAACTTGACCAATCAATTATGTGGATACAAGCATAAATAAATGTTCTTTGAAAAACTCGCTTAAACATCCAATTTCCATCTAAAACTTACAAACTACAACAGAGGTTTCGGCTTCCTAGTTTGCCTCTTCCAATGTTTGAGAAAAAAGGAGCTTTGCAGGGCCCTCGCAATTAATTATTTAGGAGGATGGGGGTATGCTCAGCTCAGCAGGACAATATTTTTCAAATACGTGGGGGAAGCTAACTTCCTCCCAGCCCTTCCCTCTCCGCGGTCTCTGTTTGTTCTTGAGTATTCAACATTGCACGGTAATAGGCCATTCGAAAAACTTGACAAAATCGCGACAAATGTTCAAAAATGTAAACACTACAACGAGGAAATGTTTTACTCTAATCTCATTCTTACATACTGACTGTCGTGTGTGATCAAGGATTGGAGGATCCGTAGAATTTGTATGTACGTGATTTACCCGCCCTAATAGCTACTGCTGCTGATCAGTTTCTTTATTTCTCTCAGGAACAGACGATGAATACGAAGTTGGTGACTTAAGTGGAAAGTATGGGACCTTTTTAAACCGCTCTTCATTCAGCAAAACGGTCAGGGACTACAATCTTCCAATGTTTGGTAGAAACAGCATCCAGGGACGCTCTTTAGTCATCCACAAACTGAAGATTCAGGACAACAATATGCGCTGGGTCTGCAATGACCTCATGCCAGAGGTCGACAAAGGTATCACCTACTTCATGAAAGCCATCGCAAATATCAGCGGACCGGCGGTAAAGGGAATGGTTGTACTGGCAAGTAGTAATAATACTTCTGTAAAACGGATCAGTTCAGTAACAGTTCCTCAAATTTTGGACCGAAGTATATATAGTGATTCCTGTGCATTGAGTCACAGATTTTTCTGGTTGTGATCGCTTTTCCTTCTTTTTCTAGGAACAGTACTTGTCTAGCTCGCCAAATGTGGCTGAGGTCGAATCCACAATTTACATCAACATCGAACACAGCCAAGATTCTGAGTCAACGGTAAATCGATTTACGAGTATTTTTATCCAAAAGGCCGGCCCGGAAGTTCAAAATACATATATGTTGGCGATATGTGTCTTCTACAGGAAAACAACGTTTTATTTGTTTCGGTTCCGCAAATCTCTCATATTTTAAAGCTCTAAGATACATTAGCCTACTGCTATGACTAGTTTAAATTTGATACTTTTAATAAAAATGCTGACGTCCGATCTCAACCTTACGATACTGTTAATCGCGACTGAATATATCCACATAGAAGTCTGCGCTATATAAATGTAAAAATGTAAATGTAAATAAGATTATAGTGGACCATAGTATTGTGCCAGTACCTTAACATTACTCTTCACTTCATCCAACAGAGTGGTCACCGGTATGGTGTACATAAAAATCCTGTAGGCGAAGATGCAAGTTACACAGACGTTAGCAGGAGATGCATGAGTTTGGAAGGGAACTTTAATCCATACGCAGTGTATACTAAGGTAAAATTCACCTGGCTAGTCCATGCTAGAACATCGGATGGAATTTATTTCGCAGGTGCACTCAAATAGAAAGCGTGCTATAGGTTCATCTTTCAGTCTCCTCATGCAGGAATGGTTAAGGATAAAGAAACATGAAGTAACGTGAAGTACAAATGACAAAATTAAAGAGGTTAACTAAATCTTTTAGGTTGCACAACCTGCGACGTGGCTAATAAGATTTAGCTGTGACGTGATTCTCGTGGTTTCTGTTTCTCGCTGCTTTTGAGTGCCTTTTTTCGTTTTTTGCCAATGTCTAGGGAGACTACTCGTCCACCTGTAGTCCAACTAACATGTTGCGCTGTGAATCCGGAGATTTGTCTGGTAAACACGACCCTCTCGAAGTGGGCGACGGCCGTGTGTTTTTCAACGATGTCAATCTTCCGTTATTTGGCATTGACTCCGGTAATAACCATGATGTCTTACACAATTGTGCTCTGTTCTCCTTCGCTTGCAACTGCTATAAATATACCGCTTGTCGCACCTCATTGTTAAGTGTTTGATTCAAGAGAGGTAGCCTTTCGAACATTACTGGTGTTCCTCCAGCACATCAACTGGTATTACGCCATTCATTTGAATAAAAAGATAGAAATTGCGGTGTATTGCATTTGTTAAACAACTACGGGCTGAAAGGTATAGTAACGATATGTTTCTTAGCAATAATAGCGGGCGAAATACCTCAGTTATATTTAACAATTATTCCACGAGCGCGCGTTGGATATGAGATGATAGATAGCCAACGAGGCGCGTAACGCCGAGTTGGCTATAATCATCTCATATCCAACAAGCACGAGTGGAATAATTGTTTTATTAAAAAAACGCCCCCAAGATATTAGGCAAATCTTCTCGACTTCATTTTGTAAGAAGAAACCGGATGTTACAATGTACAGATATTAGATTATGGTATGTTAGCTCGTATACCATAATGGCTAAGCCAATAAAAAGTCTTGAATTGCATTATCCAATGATCCAGTTTTTAATAAAGGGGAATATACCAGAGCTTCGAAATAGCTGGACCAGCCTTAGATATTACAAGTGAAGATACCACTAAATAGTATTTTTTTTTCAAGTTGTTACGTTCTCTTTAAAAGAATCAGTTAAATTATGGTGTTTCGTAAGACAAATTTAATTGGTTTAATTAACGACGAAGCACAAACATGAAAATTGTCAGTTCAATGTGAAAACGAGTGTAGTTTCCCTTACAATGTTGATTTTCTAGTTACAAGCGTTAAAATAAGATAAATTAAAATAACAGTTTCTTTTGTTTTAACAAGTCGCTGGCCATGGCATAGCTGTGAATGCTAAAGATGGAGGTAGTGACCGAATCGGTTGCGCCAATCTCATAGTGGAAGGATCTTTATATGCAGAAAGATCCCTCGAGTTCCCGAAAAAGGCTGCCTTTTCCAGGTGAGAAGAACTTCCATCTCAGGCGTGCAATAACGGTGAACTCTTCCTAAGAGGTCCTTTCCACGTTCTGGAAACTCAACCTTAGTCGTATATTACCAATAATGATAATAATAATAACAATAATAATAGCATTAATTAACAGAGTGGGGGTCTTGAACCCAGGACCACGCGAGCAAGGTCAACCCAGGGAAAACGTTCAAATTAATGAGAAATTTAAAAACATTTGCTCTGCGTCAAGTGGCTGGTCAACATTTTAAAACGGAGCTTTTCATAAAATTTTAAGGCATGATACTCCTGTTGAGAAGTTTATAGCGGGATGATTAGACCTTTACTTCACTTCCAACGGTGGTCGTGGTATGGTGTCGACGGAAATCGTTTATCTGTTTCCCGATGAAGACGGTAAACGTTTGTTGTATTTGAACAATGAAAACGCCGTTTCCTTTTTTTTTTTCCTGGCTTAGTTTAAACGGGGCCTCACTCGGCTTTGCCCTGGTTATCAAAACGCTAATTAAATTAACTACGTGAGAGAGCAACAAGTATTATTTATACAGTATTTACGATAGCATTATGGTGATTATCTGTGTAATCGGTCAGAGTTTCTTAGATGCTATTATGAGGAATTGAGCCATAGTTGGCAGTTTCTTTTTTTTGTTATTACTTTTTCTTTTGTTTTTGCTTTCATTGACAGTTTCCATTTTGCCGATATCATCTCTAAAGCTTTGGGAATTCCAAAGTGGCGACTTTTCATGATTCGCACAGAGGAAGGCAGTGTTTCCGAGTGCATGAAAGTCAAGTTTGCAATAGTCGGCAATGGTACTTCAACCGTACTCTTGTGTTGTATAATAATAGGGACCTCAAGCAGTCAGGACGGCAACGCCAAGGAAGACTTCGATTAAAAAATGAATTTCTACTCTTAGTTAGAATTTAAAAAATAGCTGCATGAGCTTACCGTCTCATATGGCGCCACAGCTCAACTTCAGTATGACGTATAAAAGTAGCGTTGAGTTCCAAATGGAAATTAAAATATTTGCCGTCGCGGTTTCGGCTCGCAGACGACGCAAATTTTGGCGATTTCACGTTGTTGTTTTGCATAGGACGGCTAAGAAAAGTACAAAGTTTCAAAAAGCACGTGCTGAGCTATTGTTCTGCCAATTAGATCTCTTGTTTTTCCACGTCCTCGTTGCCGTCGCCGTCGTGGTTGCTTAAGGTCCCTAATGGAACGCGTGGGCCTAATCCTTGTTGAAGAGGTTCTCAATGGGGTTAACCTTTAGCCGTTAAACGGCCAAAAAAATTAGCCGTTAGGCGTAAGAATAGACAAATTTTAACCGTTAGTCGTAAAAGCCATCACCCAATTGAGACCCTCTTAGAACCCCTGCAGTTTTAGTTTTTATGTTAAACATGTAACAAAAGGTTTCGTTCCCATAATGTTTATTTTGGGTTAACCGTGCCGTGACAAAGACAAAATGCCACGTCACGAAGTTTTTCTCGAGCATTTAACAATTTTGATATTGTTAAAATTACTGAGGGGAATTCTTAATGGCTAGCATGATGTGCCTTATTTCTTGACGTTGCAGAAACCAAGATGTGTTTCGGCAGTAATGTGCCTGTAGGTTCGTAAGACTTGACCTTGCGTAAGGAATAAAGGGCTTCCACAGCCACCAACTTTCTTCAGAAATCGGATTTGTTTCTTTGTCGACTGCACTTTCGGCTTTCGGCTTTTTATAAGTTCTGTGCCTTGGCGGTTTGTTCTAGAAAAACATACAATGCCATCGTGAACTCTTACTTTGATCAAGGCCTTACGCGTTTACTATGCGGGACACCGAGGCATACCTCCTTAACTAGATTGCTAAAGGCATTCGTCGGGTTTCACTTTGAAACTTGAACAATATACAGTCGCTGTCGATATTTCCGAATAACGCAAAAGTGGTGATTCCAGATCAGTTATGGTTGACCTCGACAGCGTCACGAGCACCCATTAGCCCCAGGAATGGTGAGGACAACCTCCAAACTTTCAGTCTGAGTTCACCCCTGCACCACTTTGAGGCACCTCCAAAGAGGCGGGGATGAAGACATCCCCAGGTGCTCCGATTTCGCAGGGGAATGTCTGAATAATGCTAGGATAAAAAAATAAGCGAATCCGAGGGACGTTTGTGGGAGAGGCATTTTTGAAATTTTCATACCACTACCAAAGATACTTCCCTAAAAATTTGTAGGTCGGGACGATCCTTTGATCGGAGATTCAAGGATTGTCCTTACATGCAACTTGGGGAAAAATTTACGACAGATTTTGAGCGTCTTCGCAAAACAACTGAAGGGTTAGATGAGCAGTGCGATTGACACTTGATTATTGTTTGAAAATGATTATTATTTTTTTGTATTTTTTTTACAGCGAATCAAGTCATCCAACCTGTCACAAAATTTGACGATCTCAAGCAAAATAATCCTGAAGCGTTCAAACCCTACACATGCAGTGAGTATAAAAAGACGCGAAACACATGTTTGTCAGCGAGGAATTAATGCAAGCCTGCCATAGCATCCACTATTTCCAGTCATCTAACAACGTTTTTTATTATTACTTCCAGACCCCTCGACAACAAGTGGATTACTTCCAGACCCCTCGACAACAAGTGGATTACTTCCAGACCCCTCGACAACAAGTGGAGCACTTTGTTATCACTCAAGCTTCCTACTATCCATCATTGTTGTGGTGGTCGTTGCTTTTATGGGCTAATGCCGATTACGATTACCGTCAGACATACGTCATCACTCTTAATGGAATGATTAAAGTGCTACTGGGACGAAATTTTTGCATTTTATTTTCCAAATTTTCTGGTGTTAACTTCGCAGTTAGACCCTAAACTATAAGAATAAGCGTAAGTTTCTCAAATTTGACAACGTTATTCCTTAAAAACAGCGCCGCGAAGACATTAAAAATTCTTCCGCCATTGCTCGAATAACACAATGGAGAGCCCGCAAAAATAGCATTAAGCGGTTTTAGTTGTGACGTCATCGACTCACTTCGCCACGCGAACAACAACAAAACAACAGAGGGAAACACGCAGTATTCGGCATATCTTCACGCTCAAACTCTCCTGTTTCTTCCGACGACGATTCGGAGTTAAACTTCTCCTTCACTGAAGATCCATCAGACGATAATGGCGAAGGGTATCTTTACGATGACAGTTTAGAGCCCGTTGCGACCGAAGAAGAGGTCGCAGCGTACAAAGAAAGTTCTGCCCATGAAGAAGAGGAACAACAGGAATACCAACGCCGTCGCACTGGTGAAACAAGTGTTAGTACATGGTATGCATTATTCTTACAGCTGTAAATTTACTTTCCTCCTGCTCGTATCTCATTTATTTTCGTGCTTTGTACCCGTAAGACTTCTTATCGTGTTTTCAGCCGGATGACATGTGTATTGTACTTCTCCAAGGTAGCTTACCATTTGAATGTAAAATATTGCGAGAAGCTCGTCGAACAGTTGTTGTGCTTGATAGGTGTAAATGTTCTTTCTGTTCTCTGGAGGCCATAAATAAGCCAGAGGAATGCACTTGCTGCAAAGAAATCGATCGCGTCGGTGAGGTGATGGACCAGTTGGACCTAGAGGATCGATGTATTACCCTCCATCCCGGTTTCCGAGATGTGTGCCCAAACCGTAAAAAACAGATTTATAAGTAAACCATTTTTTTGTAGTATCAATTACACTAAATAACTTCACATGAACATGAGTAACATTACTCGGGTAGCAAAAAGGAATCACGCAAGGTAAGATCTCCCGCTCGATGTGGGGAGAACCAAATAAGTTCAGTGCTACTCACCATGCACTAGTCTCCTTCGCAGCCGTTGTTTGGGCTCGTCACGCAACGCTCCCTCCCCCACCGTTGTTTGGTGGGGGAGGGAGCGTTGCGTGACGAGCCCAAACAACAGCTGCGAAGGCGCCTGACCATGCACGAGCTCGCTTCGAAAGAGTTTCCTCGATCTCTGTTTTTCGAGGTTTTTCCAAATGGTTGGAAAGGAACTTTTCTTTAGCCTTCTAACGGCGCCATCCGCATGGACTGACCTTTCGAAGGAATGTAGCGAAAAGTGGTCAGAACAAACAGCGAAGCGACCATCTGGATTGAAATGTCCACGACGTGTGCCAACGGAAGCTTTCCATTTCGCGCGAAAAGTCTTGTCGATCGGCGACTAATGGATGGAAATTCCGGCCGATATATCGGAAACATTACTGCATCCTTGCACAACACAACGTCGCAAAGGCATGCCTTTACAAGAAATACGCAAAAGAAAGCTGGGGAACAATTCTTTCAAATTTTATTCCTTCTTTCGTGCGGAACCAGTAAAACAACTCTCTCTCAGCATACCAAATTAGCCACGTTTGTTGAGTCGTTGACGTCACTTCCGTTCTCGACCCAGTTTTTTCTTCATCGCGCGGAGTTCTGTAGTTCGAAGAATGGCGGTCGTTTAGATCGTGAATCTACAGGGAAAATAATATTACTTCTCGATGAAGTTTTGCCTTAAGATCTGGCAAATTTGTTACTTAGGGTAAGTACTTTCAACCTCTGAGGAGAAAAGAAAAGGTGCATTTTTGGTCGCAGTAGCACTTTAACCTCAATTACAACTTGAAGCCTTAAACATTTGAACCTAGAGGTCGGTAACCTTTTACGGTAGAGAGCTCTAGGTTAATTACAAATCTTTTTTTGAAAGGTAATTTCTGCATGTTCCTCAATTTTTTTTCTTTTCAACAAAATAGCCAAAGACAAGCAATTTCTTTTTTGCGCAGCACTAAGATATGGGTAGTAAACCACTGAATTTGCGCCAGAACTGTGATGAATGCAGCAATTATTAAATAAAATCATTATCACTGATCAGCAGCCCTAACAGGAATTCTGTTTCTTCGATATGTAGTCGAACTAGTCGATGAAATTGTGACCGTACATTTCACCTATCGAACGTTTCTGTATTTTCCGGTAACAGCTGCGCGGGAAAGCCCAAATGTTAAACGGATGGCCTAACAACTTCTTGAGTTTTTGATCGTTTCTTCTATTCTCTTAACCTTAGTGTTTTATTCAGGGCTTACATGGTGTTGGGAGATACTGGATTCTTGTGTTGTAGAGTATTTTCAAGGATTGATATTTCAAGTATTTTTAGGTTTACCTTTTGTTTTATTTAGTCTCGCCTTTTTGCGTTTACGTTGTTATTTTAGTAGATCTATAGTTTTGATCATTTATTTTTAGTGTGTGCTTGAACTTGGCTCAGTTCTTACCGTGCTAGACATTTCAATCGCTTGTTATGGTTGAGGATAACTAGTTTGCTAGGTGGTCATATTTGGGTTGGTAAAACTGACCTTGAGTTTTACCCACACTGAATATCCTGTTTTGGAAATTCCCACGGTCAGCTAACCCAAACATGTATGTGAATTTTGCATTAAATGAGAGGGCACTCCTCGCTGAAGTTAGAAGAGAAATAGCTGTGGTAGTAGGAGGTAGTAGCAACAATAGAAGAGGAGAGAATAAAAGAAGAAAAATATAGAGTCTTGGTACCTCTTGTTAATTCGCCAAGCGAGTGGTAAAAGCCCACAACACTTGTCACTCAAGAACAACGACTAACATCTCAGTATAACACTGCTCTCATCAAAACCTGAAACAAGTAAAAAAATGTTATCTGACAAAGTTAGTAACACACGGGCCAAGATTACCTCTTCTTATGTTTCTAGGGAATTGCATTAAATTTTTCAACTTTACCATGAATCAACTCACACATTTCTTTCAAAGCTAGACTCCAAAGTCGATGGTGAAGTCCGTCGATATCTGTTTCTTCTTCACTTGCGTTCGAGCTTTCTTCTTCGCCACACTCAGAAAGCGGCTCGTCTTGCTACACTACCAATAACTCTTTCGAAACACTTCAGACTCGAAAGTTTAAAAGAACTCCCCCGGAGAGCCAGTTCGCATCATTCGACTTTTTTTATCAAAAACTGTCGCCACGCTATCAACAAACTTAATTTCAATCGTATTACCAAATTTTCCAATCACTCTTCTGAAGAGTGGTCGGCTCTAAACAGCCTTAGAAAACGCAAAGACATAGTTATGAAAGCGGCCGATAAGGGCGGCTCAGTCGTTGTTTGGCGCACCAACCTCTACCAAAAAGAAGCTTTGCGGTAACTTTCTGACACCTCTTTTTATCAGAAGGTCGACAAAGACCTCATTGCCAGCAATCAAAACACCGTCAAGAATACGATCAACCAACTCATTGTCGGCCACAGCAAAAATTCTCATCATAACCACTCCTAGAACTTCTTGTATTTACTTTTTACCTAAAGATTCACAAACCTAACAACCCGGGGTCGGCCCATTGTCTCGGCTTGCAGTTGCCCTACCGAACTTATCTCCAGCTATCTAGACAAAATTATGGCTCCCATCGTCAAAACTTTACCATCATATATTAAAGACAGCCAACACGCTCTTCAAATTTTTCGAGACTTTAATTTCCTTGGCCAAAACAAACTTCTTTTCACCATGGATATTACGTCTCTTTACACTGTCATTCCTAATGGCGAAGGCCTTCTGGCCCTTAAACATTTTTTTGATCAACGTACTGTTAAGGAACCTAAATCTGAAACACTACTACGCTTAGCCGAACTAGTGCTCACACTCAATTGTTTTTCATTCGGAAACAACTTCTTCAAACAAACCAATGGTGTAGCCATGGGCACCAAAATGGGACCTAGCTATGC